AAAACTTTACACCTCTCAATTAATTCAGCTCATGTTTCAATTAAGTTTTAATAAGACTGAATAAAAATTAAATATACTTTTGATATATTTATTTGCCATTTATATTTCTTCATCTAAAAAGTGCATATTCATCTCAATGCCAATTTTGGGATTGGGTCTTTGAATTTGGGGAGTCTTATTTTTTTCAATTCTTTGTATATTCTAGATAGAGGTCCTTTGTCTGAGGGACAACTGGCTAAAATTTTTTCCACTCTGTAGGTTGTCATTTCACTCTGTTGATTTTTTTTTTTTTTTTTTTTTTTTTTTTGTATTGGAATTGAGGTCAGGACCTTGCACTGTCAGGCAGGTGCTCGCTGCCACTGGGCAGTATTTCCAGTCCTGTTGGTGATTTCTTTTGCTATGCAAAAAGAGATCCCAGTTGTTGGTTCTTTGTAGTATTTCCCACGCAATACGGATTTTGTTCATGAAGTCCCCATCTATACCTATCTTCACTATTTCTATCTATTTTCCTTTCCAGAACACACTTAGTGTTTCTGTTTTAATATTTAGATCTTTTTTTTTTTTTTTTTTTTTTTTTGGATTGAACTCAGGCCCTTGCGTTTGCCAGGGAAGCACTTATTCCACTGAGCCATCTCCCTGGCCCCAATATTTAGATCTTTGAACCATTTTGATTTTAGTTTAGTGTATAGTGATAGATGTGGGTTTTAGTCTGCAGTATGTAGAAAGATATTTTTCCAGCAACAATTATTAAAGAGGCTTTCTTCCAGTAAACATGATTGGCCCCTATGTCAAAGATAAGGTGGCTGAGTATGTTGGGACTTGTGGCTGCATCTATTAATCTGTTCCAGTGTTCCTCAGGTCTGTTTTTTGTTTTTGTTTTTGATTTTGGCCAGTACCATGCTGATTTTATCACAGTAGCTTTGTAGTATTATTTCAAGTCAGGGATTATGATGTCTTCTGCCTTACATTTGTTGCTGAGAATTGATTTTGCTATTCTAGGTCTCCTGATTCCAAATAAATTTTAGGAATGTTTTTTCTAATTCTGTGAGGTATGCTAATGGTTTTTTGATTGGTATTATGACCACTGATCATTCAAGAAATGCAAATTAAAAGAACACTGACATTCCTTCTAACTCCAGAAAAATTGGATATCATCAAGAAATCAACTAAAAACAAATGCTGGAGGGGCTGTGGGAAAAAAGGAACCCCTTTCCACTGTTGTTGGGAATATAGATTGGTGCAAGTACAGTGGAAATCAGTATGGAGATTCTTTAAAAAACTAGAATTAGAGGTCCCTTTCAACCCAGCTATTGCCCTTCTGGCTATCATCTCAGAAAAATTAAAAACATCATACCACAGTAATACATATCATACCATGGGTGTAATATATACACCCATGTTTATACTAACACAATTTGTAATAGCTAAATTTTAGAAACAACTCAAAAACCCATTAAGCAAAGAATGGATAAAAAAGAAGTCCTCTTTTTCATATAATGGAGTACTACTCAGCCATAAAGGATAAACTTGAGACATTTTAGTCACAAGTTAAATAAATCACTCACATGTGTAAACACTGTATTGTTGCCTTGTTGTTCGATATTGAAAGGGTAAACAAGGACCAAAATGCACAAGAGATATTGTGAAATGGGAACAAACTGTTCAAAAGGACAGAGGAACTAAGGTGGGGGAAGGAAGAAAGGAAGGATGGAAAAGGTAAAATAATATAAGTTAGTCAAACTACTAGCTTCTCTTAGTTTATTGAAAAGAAAGGTTTTAGAACAGGTGAGATAACTCAGAGGTCTAAAGCGCCTGCTGGGGCAAGCTTAGGCAAGGGCACAGGGACCACGGTTCAATCCCTGGCACCACATGCTGCAACTGCCTGGCCCCCAGGTTGGGCTGACTGGTCCCCCCAAAAAAACAACAAAGAAAAAGAAAAGAAAGGTTTGCGCTAATATTGTTTGGAGAATTTTTTACACCCATACCTTATACTCTGAGTAACTACTTTAAACATAACAATACACAATATATTCTATTATTCAATGTTTAGGTATTCTATTATTTTGTTATGAAAATTATTTTTCATAAAATAAAAATAAAAATGGTAAAAATTAAATATAAATAAGTTTATGGTCTTCTTATTCAGGGACTATGATATTTTTCATTTATTTTTTATGGTACTTGATAATGTGTCTTTCACTTAGCAGATAATACGTTATATAGTTGGGAGAAGTCAATTGTACTGAAAGGATAGACAAATCAACAATTATAATTATAGATTTCAACATTCCTCCACCAGTAATTGACAGAACAAGTTCATAACTAGTTAAGAACAAAGAAAATACAGATAAAAATTTTAGCCACTTATACTAATTACATTTGTATACATTTCACCAAATAATAGCAGAATATATGTTTCAAATGCAAATATATATGGATAAAGACATAAACATTTATCCACATAAAACAAATATAAATGAACTTAAGAGAAGGTAAGGTAGAAAGGTACGGTAAAGATTTAATTTTTAAAACTTTAATACGGTAAAAAGATGCATAGCTACTGATTCCCCCAAGAATACTCTCTAACTTCAAACACACCCCATCATTCTTTCCACTTTCTAAAACAGTTCTGAAAGTTCTCTTCCATGAGTGTCTTTAGTTACACTATTATGACTGTTTCAATGGTATAAATCAATTCCAAACATTTACCTTTCATGGTCATTTCAACTTTCAGGAAGACCCAGAAGTTGCACGGTACCACATCTGATGATGACAGATGAGGACGCAACATAATTTTGTATGTGCCTGCCTTTCCATTCAGTAGCATTTGCTAGTAGCATTCACTGTTTTGATAACACTGCATGAGGACACTAAAGAAGACTTCCACAACTGGTCCAGAAAGTGGCAAGGATGGCATAAGTGTGAAGTAAGGAATATACTGAAGAAGATTAATGGCAATATGTCTTTTATTTTAATAATTTTTAAAATTTAAATTCACTGTATATTTTGATCACATATATTTCAGAGCACAACGAATTTAAGATACAAACAAAAAACACTCAAAGATCCAGAAAATCTCCAGGTATTTGAAAATTTAGCAATAGACTTCTAAATAACTAATGAAATAAAGAACACAGGAGAAATTAGGAAATAATGCAAAATAAAAAATTAAATTTCAGAAACAAAACTGAAGTACTGTCTATAGAAAATTTACAGCATTAAATGTCTATGTTAGAAAAGTCTCAAATAAATGATAGAAGACTTCAACTTAAGGTACTAGTAAAAGAACAAAATTCATTATTAAAAAGATATAAATAAAAATAAGGCTATAAATACAAGATATAGAGAAAAATCAATAAATCCAAAAGCCAGTTCCTTTAAAAGAAAATAG